CTCCCTCCCTCCCTCCTTCCCTCCTCTTGTGGCCAAAACCCGTGAATAACAATTGCGGGGTGGGAACTACCGAAAAAGCGCTGACGCTTGGATGAATGTCTGCGATTGCTTTATTTTGGTTAGAGACTGTACTGTGTTTCAGTCAGCCATCTAACTTTGTCCATGCCATGGCATCTAGATTCTACATACATAGCAGACATAGGGGAGGAATTCCCTACCGAGGGACCGCTATGAAACAGAGTAGATTAGACTGTAGGGTTTGGGGTAGGGTTAAGGGTAGGGTTAAGGGTAGGGGTTGTGTCAGGGTTAAGGTAGGTCTCTTCTCTAGATCTAGATCTATATTGGATACACAAGACTTATTGTTTTCTTTCTTGCTTCACAGCACAGAATGGGAAGAGAGATTAGGGACAGTGGGGTGGGTATCTGTTTCAGTTCAAGGTTTGCAATGTTAAAGAAATGTTGCTGTATTTATGATTTTTATAGTCTGGGAGCTCAGGTGAACTTACCAGTAATCAAAGTGAAGGTGAATACCACAGTCATTTCGTCACTCGGTCATTTCGTCACATCGGTGCAGTCAAGATGTCACAGTCATCTCATCACACCCCAAATCCACAAAGTTGAAAGGAGACGGTCATTTCGTAGCACATTTGCAAACATCAAATGCGCATTGTCATCTGTCATGGCAATCGCAAATCACTATTTTTGGGGGAGGGTTGAGGCTGTGTGTGGAAGGCCGGGGGTAGCTACCCCGTTCATAGATGTGTATTGAGTCAGATCAGCAAAGTATTTAGGTATTATTGATGAAAAATGTGATTGGCAAGACCATAAATTGTTAGTTCTCTCTGTTAAAAATAAATTAGCTTGCAGAAATAGGTAGGCCTACTGCGATTTTGCTAAGCTAGACCATTACTTTCAAACATAAAGCCTCAATTAACTCTTTACCAGACATTGTTTTTGCCTCTTTTAAACAATAAAAATTTTACTAATAATTGTTCAACTATGGAACAGTTTGGACGAAGATTTAATTTAAATATATATATTTATACTTCAAAAAAAAGCTTTAGGCTGATCCTCCAAAACTCTTCTATAACAATTTTGGAGAGAATATATAGATCTAAGTGAAGTCATTTTGCACACATGATTGGGGTGTGACGAGATGACAGTGTGACGAAATGACTAACCGTGAAGGCAGCCTGTAGAATTTTTGCGACCAGTTGCTGTCTGGGTGAGTGAACTGGTGGGCTAAGATTAGAAATGTTAAACGATGCTATATCTGCATCTTATATATATCTAAAACTCTCAATGTGTGTGATAAAAAAAAAGAGAGGTTCTTTCTTTTCATTACTCAATACACATGATCATGATATCTGCTGGGGAATGAGTTTGTGGCAAAAGTAGTGGACAAAAACATTTGGATACCTGTACCGTTATAGGTGGATAGTGGTAATAGAAAGTGGTCATCTTCTTTTTAAAACAAATTTATTTTTTGTGTGCTGGGATAACATTTTTATTTTTCACTGTGTCTGTATTTTTTGTTTGTCTCTGACTTTTATTCTGTGACTGGTGTCACTTCACTAATGATGAACATATCTTGAACTATATCTTAAAGTACTCACAAAAGCACTTTGGAATATATTAATCAAATACATAAAATTTATAATTTATTCTATTTTCAGCGGAAATATACACATCTGAGTCTAAAGGCAATGACGAAACAGGAGATGGAACCAAAGACAAACCGCTGAAAACTGTTCTTCAGGTAAAGTGACCTTCTGAATACTGTAATCTCCGCTTAAGAAGCTAATGCTATGTGATAGCGCGCTCTCCTCAAATGCATGCTATTGTTTGTGGATGGATTCATTACTTAATAGTTTGTGTACCAAAAGGTACACAGACTTCTGAGAATGCACACTTCATTCTGTAAAACCTTTTGACAGGATAGGCAAGACTAAGGTCACAAAAGTGGCTGTCACAGAGTAGTCTAAACAACAAGGTCTTGCAGCACAGACCAGCATGCAACCCACTTGTCACTCACTATCTCCACCACTGTTCACTACCCCAATATGAAATTTGCATGAGTGTTGTTTTTGCCCCTCTATGACAGATATGCTTATATAGGAGTTACTGCTTTTTCAGACATGGATTGTTGGATTTGCCCCTTTAGTATTGAAAAGAGCCTCAGAATATCACCACCAAAATTTTTATTTTTTTTAAAGTTCGGATTGATAGTGTCATCAATCTTGTAATAAGTTTTGTAATTATGCAGCTTCCTTGTCTTTAATAACATATTTATTTGTTTATTGTGTACATTCCAGGCAATGAGAAAGGCAGGAAAAGAACCATTTCCTGTGATTTACTGTGATTCAAAGCAAGAAGGGCAGGTATGGTATCTTTTATCTATGGTTTTTGACTATGTATCAGATATGTAAAGACTTAAAGACCAGCATCTGTGGTGTAACTTTAGAGGCTTTGCTGTTGCACACGGGAGGCTTGAGTTTGATTCTTGGGTGGGGATAAATTTTATCTCGTATCTCGGTCTTTCTGCTGGAATGTTGTATCTCTCTCATCCTGAATTGACCCTGACAGGCATGGTTACTTAGAATCCTGCCTTCTAAATGATCTAAATTGTGTCGATTGGGTTGCAGAAACTCCTATTTTTAAAAAAGCTACAACCACTGGCAAAATGTTCTGTCATTCAGATGTGTGTAAACTTTTCTATATTAAGGATGAGTGTAATTCCAGAGAGAATATGTTAATGTTTAGTTTGATGCAAACTAATCTTGGGAAAACTGTTCTATCTGAAGTGTGCAATGGTATTTATGCTCGTTGTATGAAAAAAGACATGAAGTTTTTATTCTTCACATCAGGCACTTTTGACTTTTTTGTTGACTATTTAATCAAAGATTGTATGCTGCTTTACTCTCATCTACATGATTTGGATGATTTGGAATGTGCTCCTTTGAGATAGATGACTTAATTCCGTGTACTACTGTTTCTGTAGGCCCTGAGTTGGTTTACGTGGATGGTTTTTCTCCCTCAGGTCTATGACCCAGTAGCCAAGTCACAGCTGAAGAAGGTTCAGAAGATCTGGCAAAGAGAGCAGTACAAGAAAGCGGATTTGGATGAAGCAACTGTGAGTCTCGTGTGTGTTTGATTACTAGGTAGTAAAGATCACGTTTTGTGGGCTCCTTTGTGTTGGTTGTCTGATGTGTATTCTGTGCATTATAAAAGAATTTTGTTCCCTTAAAAATTCTCCTTGGGCACACCATGACAGTTTTGCTTGCCTATTCATTAAGGAGAATGTCTTGACTGTTTAGTGAGAAGTATTTTCATTGGTACTTTCATAAGTATTTTACATATCTTTTTAAATGAAAAATTAAATTCAAACTGAAAGTCTCAATTTTTCAGCCTAATCATAAGGAGCATGCATCCTTCCATGGGTCTTTCAGGATACTTCAGTAACAAAGCACTTTTCTGTCATGTTAGGACTGTTGGTGTAGAAAAAAGTCTTTCAGAGGGAAAGAGTCAAGTTCTATTCCCACAGACTACTTCAGTAGGCATTATTTAGGTTGTCTAGAAAATATTGTCATGTGTCAGATCGCTTGTTATTCATTGACAGAAAAAAGATGCCGAGAGAAGAGAGAAAAACCTTGAGGAGGCCAAGAAGATCACCATTGAGAATGATGCAAGTCTGCCCGCGCCAACAAAAGTAGGTGTTTTGTTATAACGACAGACTGCATTGTTGTGTCTTCTAGTTATTGATGGGATTCATCCTATATGTGTGCTCAACAAATGAGGACTGGTTTGTTTGCAGGTGCTCTGGTGTGGTTTGCTCCTTCTTTACTATGAAACATAGATTATCTATATCTCCCCTCTTCTTTTTAGATTTTGTGATGTTACTCTCTTGTAACACCTCTATTCTTCGGCACTTATGTTACCTTAGTGTGATGCAAGTGCTGTAAAACTCTTATTAAACTAAACAAAGGAGGGCATTTTGCTTTTAAGATCATTGTTTCGGCCTTTAAGTTTCAGCTACAAATAAAGTTACCCTTGAAATGCAAATTGGATTATTATTGTATTATTTGATCTATGTGTGGTTGAAAGTTTTTTATTTTGAGATTACACGTAAAGATGGGGATATCGTAATGTAATAAATGAATAGGAGGTTTCAGTTTTTGGGGTTATTTTTCTGTTGCTTACAATATTTTAGTGCATGTTTCTCATACAACTGTGGCAATGGGTCTTTGGTGTTAATTTCTGAAACTGAGAATAATCCAATTTATTCAGTTTGATGCTGATAGCTCACCTGTTTGATGGTTTTTTTTAGATTAAACTGAGGGATGCAGTGAAGACCCGAGACACAAGAGTGAAGATCTTTGGGTGGGTGCATCGAATTAGGAGACAAGGTGAGAGGAAGGGGATGTTGTTGATCGACAAGGCATGGTAGAATGTAAATTAAGCTCTGTGTCCGTGTGCAAGTTGCGCACGTTAAAGATCCCTTGGTGGTCTAAAATCGATAAGAGCAGGCTTCGGCCGCCACCTGAGCAAAATTCAAAATTTCCTACTAACTGAAAAATGGTTCATGTGTCCCGCGCGCTCATATTACCTTATGCAGCTGCGAGTGCCGTAAAACACCTACCATACCACCACCACCACCACCCCCGCCCCCCGAAAAAAAAAAAATTGGAGGCTCTTTATGTACAGTTGGTCGGCACATAGAGAGGAATGTATACATTTTTCAGTTCTAATGAGTTATCTCCTTGCATAATTTTAAAGAAAAATGTATTCTCTCTTGTTCTAGATCTTTTAGCCTTCTGTATTTCTTTATTTTGATAGCCTATATTTTTCTTTAAAAAGCAAAACTATCTTCTAGACTTTTGGGTTTGTTCTTTTTTCTGGACAGAGAGATATGGGTAAGAAAAGGTAACAGCTTTAGAAAAGTGTTGTCTCTTTTAATCTCTACTTTAGATTTACCCTGATGTTGATGAAATGCCTGGTTTGATTGTGCCTGTGATATTTCATTTGTTTCATAGGTGCCTTTCGCACAAGTTTTCAATTCCACAAATGTTGATTGATATTTACAAAATTGTACTACTCCATCACAGACATTGTATTTCATGTATTCTGTAATTTGAATTGAGCAATTATTTTGTGCTTGTCATTTTCAGGAAAGAACCTCATGTTTGTGATATTAAGAGACGGCTCAGGATTTCTTCAGTGTGTCATGAATGACAAACTGGTAAGTCTTTTAGAATGATTTATAGAAGTGAAATGAACTGGTAAATAAGGCTGTGACTCAGCAGCAGTGAAACTTGTCCAAGACCTGTGTAATTTATTGATTATTCATGCGGTATGTCTTCTCTGAAAAGAACAAATGCTTTCTCATATGCTGTGCTTTGAGGACATTTTTTATAAGCAGTGATATGTTTGAAGATAAGCTTTCACTGATAGTAATTAAAATCTTTTATCTTTAAATGTTATTATTGTCTTACAATAAGTTTTTGTGTTTGTCCAAATCAATAGTTATCTGGCACTTCTGGTTATCACTACTGCTTGTTTTGCTTCTGGCCATAATGCTGTTCTCTTTTTACTGCTCGCAAGATCAATTGGTACAACTTTTTTCCTTTCACACTGATATTTCTGTCTGCTGTCTCTCTATATTCCACAACAAAGTGAATAATTTTATGTAAATGTGATTTTTCTTATCTTAAAATTACAAAATTCCCAGTTTATGTGACATTGCCCAAATTTGACCCAGTTGTAGTGAATATTAATGATTATAACACATTTCTTTCTGCTTCTCTGGATGATTGGCAGCTATGTTGGTAGGTTTTACATCTTTATTGTTCATATTATCTCTTTCTGTCTGCCCTGCATTTTCCTAACTCTGGAGTGTTGTTATCTTGTAGATGTGCTTCTCTTTAGCAAAAGCAACGTCTCTGTTTCTGTCATTAGTGCCAGACATACGATGCCCTTACTCTTGCCACGGAGGCTGCCATTTGTGTCTATGGAGTCATTTCACAGTTGCCAGAGGGGAAGACGGTGAGTTGATAACACTTGATGAAATTGTCTCTGTTATGTGCCATTCATTTCTTTAAAGCTGTGTGCTGTTTTCATGATTTTAGGCTCTATAAATTTCTTCCTGCCATATTTGTTTTTTCCATATGTATGATTATATATTTATTGGTAAATATCAGCAGGATTGTGTTTTTTCTCTTTATTTTAAAGCTTAGACAAATTTTGTTTGTACTGTAATGTTCTTGAAAAGTACACTACTTTTGGTTAAAATATAATAGACTTCTGTGTCAGCTAGTGGTAACATAAGTTTGTGTTTCTCACTTCACTATTTTCCAAATAGTTATATTTTAGTGAAAGGTTATTTGTCAAATTTAAGGTGAAATGAATGATTTCCTTAAGTTTTTGTAATTCTGTGTCAAGAGTGACCTTTCTGTTTTGTGAATGTGAAAAATTATGTTCTACTGAAAGTGTTGTTTTATGCTATAGCCATTGTGTGTCATTTGATTGTCAACTCTGACTTACTTGTGTTTGATGCTTACATTTCTTCCTCTGCATTCATCAGGCCCCTGACAACCATGAAATGGCTGTGGACTTTTGGGAAGTTATAGGAGCATCTCCTGCTGGTGGTGCAGACAACCTACTCAACGAAGTGAGTATCCTCACCTTGGTCATGACAAATGAAAACTTTTTTTGCGTGGATGGAGAAATCATAGAAGAAGAGGCTGAGCTCATCACTGCAAAGCAGAACTTTATTTTTTCTGTGTCTCTTGGAGTCTAGATATTATAATGCATGGGGATGTAATAGTGGTATTGACTTTTTAGATGAATACTTTGCAGGTTGTTAAATTCAGGCCCTACCAAACGGAACCTTGACCAATGATTCTTTCTGTATTACAGGAAGCTCATCCTGATGTACAGCTGGACAACAGACATATGATGCTTCGTGGAGAAAACGTAAGAACAAACCTTTAGTGACCTATTTGTATGCTGTCTTAAGCTGACAAAACACCTTTTTTCGGTTTTGGCCCCCATTTTTTAAAATTTCCTAAACCGATAGCCTGGTCGATTACCCTACTTGTGTGAAAAAATCAAAGTGAAACTGCTTGGTTTTTTAATAAATTAGACTTTAAATTTTGGAAGAATGCTTTTCTTTCATTGTTACACTGACAAAATGCTTTTTTTCTCCAAACTACTGGGAATAAAAAAGGCGTTTTGTCAGCATACGGCAGTGTGGTGACACAAGGTTTCCCATATTAAGAACTTTTCCCTTTGTTGGTGATGAAAAGTCTTTATTGATTGCATATGGTGTTGGCCTTGGTTTGATGGTTGTTGTTATAAATTCAGAGGGTTTGGATTTGATGAAAGAAATGATTAATCATGGTTTCATGAACTATGCTCATTTGCTTAAAATTTTATCTTATCAGTTATGCCACTTTAATTGTTTGCAGCTATTTCGTTGGAGCTTGTTCTTTGGGTTATCTGCTCAACTATATATCATTTTTTTCTGTAAATGCATTTGCAAGTCAAAACAGTGAGTCAAGGCAGTACATAAAAGTTCTTTTCCAGGACAATGAAACAGTGATAGCTGTTTTGTTTCTTCTTTGACAAAATTATTACTTATGACAGTAATACCTCCAGGTTGCAATGTATCGTCAAGACAAGTTTTCACAAAGTTCTTCCAAGTAGTTAGGGAGCTGCTGGTATGGTTTGCATCTATTTCTTTCAGTTGAAGTGGTTTTCTTGTCTGCTTCATTAAGTAGGTATTTATAGATCAAAGTTGATTAAGCAATACAAATGAAAATCTTACTTCAAGTTTTCCTCCACAGTGAGTTGCATCTTGTCTGTATGTCTGTCTGTTTATTTTTCAGACTGCCAAGATCATGAAGATGAGGTCTGTGATCACCCATTGCTTCAGGGAACACTTCTTTAGTCGCGGCTACTTTGAGCTTCAGCCACCCACCCTGGTACAGTGTCAGGTGGAGGGGGGCTCCACACTCTTCAAAGTCGACTATTTTGGAGAGGAGGTTTGTTTTCTTTTCCTTCCCTGCAAGTTGTTTTGTTGACTGTCTTCTCAGCATTCGCTGCATGAAGGAGGGATCTAGTAGAATCATGGCAGCATTGATTACAACGAAGGAGAACAGGATTGGTCTTTTTAGTGGCCATGTTCATTATTGTCTTAGCCTTGGTTAAAAACAGATGGTCTTAAAGTTACTGTGAAACTCACTTCCACTGAACTTAAAATCAATAAAACCTTAGAGTGACTGAAAAGAGGAGGAATCCCGTTTTGAAAAATAATTCCATTAAAATCAAAGAAATATCTTATATTCACTTAACATGTAACTGGGCAAATTTGGACTCACTGAAATAGCTTGCGGAGCAAACATCCCCTCACTGATGCCGTTTAGTACATTTTTCTTCTGCGAAGAAACTTGTCTTCTCTGTTCCAAGAAGCTGTTGATTGCCCAGCTATGACAATCATTACATGGTTAAACTATTGACTGTAATACACAAATGTACACTCTACACAGTGAGTTGCCAGTTAGACATACCATCATCTTGTGTGACCAATCAGAGGTTTTCCATCACACTAACACATGTATGTGGTGTGGACACGCGTGTAAGACATGTGTCTGAGCGTGTGCCAGGGTCAGGAGATGTTAGAAGGGGGGCTAGTAAAAGCACCATGTAGGTGTTATGGTGGGGGTGTGGAGGGGGGGGGGGGTATAAATGTATTATGATATATTGTCGCTTTTATGGACAAGCGGGCTAACCCAGATTTCGGGGTTTTCCAGAAATCTTGACCTACACCAAAAGTGGGCATTGCCCTACCTATAGGAGAAGTTTGGTTTCTTTGGTGTGCATATTTGTTTGGTTATAGAGAAAACCCTCCTGGTCTTTTAAAGAAACTGAACAAGAGGCAAAGACTTAACCTTCGATTTTCTCAAAACAGCATTCGTTGGGATAGCCCCCTTGTGTTTAAAAGCAACCGTGTTGTCGGCAGAGGTTTGATGCTCCCAGGACATCATAATTTTTTCTCAGCTGCCTTTCTTAAGTTATACAGATCCCATAAACTATTTATTTTCTAAAAGAAGAGTAAATTTGAAATGTTTTGGCAACATCTTTTATACCTTTCAGAGCAGTATTTGTAACTTGAGCATCGGTGAAAAATGGAGTTATGTTTTCCATTTTTTATCTAGACTTTAAATGTCATGGTCAAGGTCACAACAGCAAAACATTATTTTCTAAAGCTCTTAGATTCTATTTCAAAACTTGGGACCTTGTACTATCAGAAAATGTATAGTGGATAATGGGTTGTTTAGTCATTTTACTGAATTTATGACATTTTCTTAGATCTATGAAAAATCTCAAAGTCACCTCCACATCACCGATGGTTCCCATCAATAGTTTGTTGGTGAAGTGAGGAATTTGTTTGACTAATCTACTACCTGTCATTTGTATACATGCTTCAGAGGCTATTCTTAAACATTCTCAGTTAGATGTTGTCCACATTCATGGAGAATGAGTAAATTAAAATTTCGTTTTTGTTTGATCTCCCAGGCATATCTGACCCAGAGCTCTCAGCTGTATCTGGAGACTGTGATGCCGTCTATGGGTGATGTGTTTTGTATGGCTCAGTCCTACAGGGCTGAGGTCTCACGCACTCGAAGACATCTCGCTGAGTAAGTAATTATAATGATGATAATAAATAGCATTTTTATAGTACATATCCGTGCTTGACAGTAAGCTCTATACGCTATATATAAGTGCCTTTGGGGATCTGGTGCTTGGCTAAATTGTGGTTTAATTCTGAAAATATGTGGCTCCTATACCTCTTTGACTAAGATAAGATAAGACAAGATAAGCTTTATTGATACATGAAGTTGATTTTGGGTGGATTTACCAGAAGATCAACATTCAAAGGTATAGATTAATCTTGTATGGTCTTCTCCCTCTCCTTCCTATCAGTGTTTCTATTGTCCTAGTCTGTTTCAGGGGGGAACATGGCAGTTGCCACGTCAAGTCAGCATAAACTACTACACTGTTTTCCCCCTTTCTATAATATCTGCATGTCCTCAGGCTTTTTCTGCTGTTATAATAGCTATAACTTTTGTGGTGTGCTTCGTTGTAACTCAGTTTCACACTCAAACTGGTCTCTCATCTGTGTCCACAGGTACAGTCACGTTGAGGCTGAGTGTCCTTTCATCAACTTCGACGAGCTCATGGACAAGATTGAGGACCTAGTGTGCGATGTTGTGGACCGTGTGCTCAAGTCGCCCTTTGGCAACATTGTGTATGAGCTCAACCCTGTGAGTTGAACATTTAGCTCAGATCATTCATCGTTGGTGACTTTTCTAAAAATGCCTACAGTTTTTGACGCATGCATTGATCCAAACTTAAGTTTAAACTATGGCAGTATTACATACCATGCCCTTTTTAATGCCCCTGTTGGTGGGCAATTTGGTGTGAAGTACTCCTTATTCTTCCTTTCAATTTTATTTTCCGAACCTGTTCCTTGTAAAGTAGCCTTTTTAAAACTGTTTTCATATAGACTTGCCATAAATTTCAAGTCACTTCCACCACCACCAACCCTTTGATGCTTATGAAAGAAAAATGTTTCTAATCTGTCTTTTGGTGGGGCTTCTAAATGGATAATACTATTTTTTAATACCAATTTTTGTTGTTGAACGTTCTTTGACCTTTTTATTGAGCCGTCTGACTGTCACTGTTTCTATTGTTCGTTGACTAGTACTGTTCGCTCAGCTGGTATCAATGAGGACTGTTACTGCATAGTCCTAATTTTTTACTTCTTGTTTGTCGTTTCTGTCCTTCCCTTTTCTAGTCTGAGAAGATCAATATTGTGTCAATATATACATCTCTTGAATTCGAAAGCTGTACTGTTTGTGTACTTACACTTCTGTATTTTTATATTTTAAAAATCAATATGTTCTGGCAGGTTATTGCTATGGGAAGATATTATCTTTTGAAAAAACCCTTACACAACACCTCCCCCCCCCCCACCCAAAATGTTTATATCTTTCCCTTTTCTCTTGCATTTCGTCAGGGTTTCTCTATTTTTATATTAAGTAAACAAAATGTTTTGGAAGGTTAATTCTATGGGAAGATATTGTCTCCCCTTTTTGAAACAACCCTAAACGCAACACACAACCCCCCCCCCCCCCCCCTTTTCATATTGAGGATAAAATATTTATATCTTTCCCTTTACTCTTGCATTTCGTCAGGATTTCAAAGCTCCCAAGAAACCTTTCAGAAGGATGGAATACAAGGATGCCATTGTTTGGCTGCAGGAAAACAAAATTACAAAGGACGATGGAACTTCATATGAATTTGGAGATGTAAGTAGAATTCTGCTTCTTTTCTAGGCACACGTGTATGCAGAATTTAATTTTCAGATGGAATTTATATTTTAGGGTTTAGGGTAGTTAATTGGATTAACTGGATGCTGGCTGAACAAATAACCCATCCATAATGTACATGTAAGTCTGTTCTTCTAGACTGTGTGCTTAATGTTTGTATTTTATCTTGTCTTCATTGTTTTTTTGTTTTTTTCCTGCTGTCTTTTTTACTCTGACCTCTGAGTTTTGAAATAATCTACCCGTATGTAGAAGAGTATTGAATATTGGCCAATCTAGAACAAGTTCTGCCTGGCTAGCTCAGTCCGTAGAGCTTGAGACTTTTAATTAATCTCGGGGTCGTGGGTTCTCAGATGCACTGGCACAATCAGTAGAAAGAACCTCAGCAGCATTTTGGAGAGAGCAACGGAACATCAATGGACATGTCCAGAATGCAGGGATGTTGCTCTCTTAAACAATGAACAAGTTCAAGACTTTCTTTGACCAATTTAAGTCTTACTTTTAGTGGGTGGCGATAGGTAATGTTCCCTTGACATTGTTGTTACAAGTGTTTTTTGTTTCTGATGGCTCTCAGGACATCCCAGAGGCCCCGGAGCGCAAAATGACTGACACCATCAATGAACCTATTATGCTGTGCAAGTTCCCGGCAGAAATCAAATCGTTCTACATGCCAAGGTGTCAGGATGACAGGCGTCTCACAGAGTCTGTAAGTCTCAATCAAGCTCAGTGCCTTTCTTCTGGATGTTTCCTCCATTACAGATGCCTGGAATATTCTTTCTTTCTATTTGTAGTATAGCATTTTGTATCCTCTTTTAATAGTTCAACTCAACTTGCCTTTTTTATTGTAATCTTGTAGATCTCACAAATCTGGTTGCATTCCCTTTAAAATATTGAGCTAAGAATGAACAAGATATGAAACTGAGGAGAAAGCTCAGCCATGTCAGTTGATTTTGAATATTAACTAAATGGGCCCTTGCTGGCATGGAATTGAGGTGCCACTCCATATGTCCATTTTAACACTTTTTCAAAAAGTTCTGAGAATGAATTAAGTTATTGGCTTAATTTTTCTCTCAGATAAAGTTACATGTCTCCTCTTTATAGTAGTACGGTACTGCATTATCTGTAAAACTAAACTTATTTTTTCACAACATTCTAAACTACCCCACTGTCTGCTCACTGAATGTGACAGAAAATAACACAAAAAAATAATTATTGTAACACAAAAATATGTAGACCAGGTTTAGATATGTTACTTAATTGTTATGATTCTGTCTTACAAAATTCTCAGACATCCTTTGTTCTAGTATTTTTTACGATGACTAGGGAAATGAAAAGATTTTGGGCCTCTTACAGATCATCATGGCACAATTTCGTAAATCTTCATTTCTTGTAAGAAAATGATTCAACTAAGAGTTGTGTAGTAAAATTATATTTATATAGCATTATAAGATCGTTGTCTTGAAAAAAAAAAAAGAGGCAAAATCTCTATCACGACTATTTTCGGGACTAAGATAGTAAGATTAAGCCAAATTCTCGGCTATGTTCGTGAAAAGGGCTCAATGAGTTAATGGTTTTTCTTTTGCTAGGTTGATCTTCTCATGCCCAATGTGGGTGAGATTGTTGGAGGCTCCATGAGGATTTGGCAGCAGGAAGAACTGGAGGCAGGCTTCAAAAGGGAGGGAATCAACACCGAGAACTACTACTGGTACATCGACCAGGTATGCCACGCACATACATTTACATGCATGTGCTCATATACACATATGCCCCTGCCAACCCTTTCTTGTATTCATTGATCTACCCCAACTGCAGAAGTTGAAAGTGTTCTGCTTGCAGTACCAATTTATTCTGCATCAATAGAATAACCTTCAAGACTTGTTTTTGTGGAAAGTTTATGTGTGCTTTTAGCATGTCATTGATAGAGCATTATTATTATTATTAGGCCTATTATTATTATGGAGCATAATGAAAATTGTATGTTCACTTGTTCTTAAACACTTCTCTTACATGTTGTGGTGGTTTCCTCAGTTGATGAGTTATAAAAGGGTCTGTTTGAAACTTCCTTCCAACTGTGTGTCTTTCATCTATGGGTTTCAGATGAACATGATTATTATATATTGCCTACTCTCTATCATCAATTACCCACCTATTTGCCCTCATGGAAAACAAAATTCCTTTAAAACTTTGGCTTCCTAATACACGTACCAAACTGAATGGTTGACATTTGCTCTGGTGTGGTTTGTTCCTTCTTTCCTTTCAAACATCTGTCGCCCATTTTTCTCCTTCTTTTCTCTGTATGTTAATCTCTAGTGATACTTATTCCTTTTAACACTTGTATGACCATTTTGTGCTGCAAGTACCATGAAAAGCTTTTTTAAATACTAAAACTAAGTTCTTTTATGTACCTTTTTTCTGTGTTTTTTACCGTACCCTTTTCCTTCTTTCAGAGAAAATATGGCACCTGCCCCCATGGAGGCTATGGGCTGGGCCTTGAGAGATTTTTGTGCTGGCTGCTCAACCGTTATCACATCCGCGAGGTGGTGCCCTACCCACGTTTTGTCGGGCGATGCACGCCGTGAGGTTCGCTCCTGTTGAGCATCAAAAGACCACTACAAGACCCAGTGCTTCTTTACTGTTTGCTTTGTCCTTTTTCCCTTCATTATTATTGTCTCAGCATATGTAATGTCGATGGACAAATTTTTGTTACCCCTCTGTCATTCAAAATAAATTGAAGGATAGTTGATACTCATCGAATTATTTTACTGGAATTTTTTTTACTGATTTGATTTTTTCTGCTTTCTTTTAGTTTATTAGTGGAGGTACTAATTGCTTATCAACCTACTTAAAGTATAAAGAGGTAATGGTGTTTTGAATGAGTTGCTCCATTATCTGATGGACTTGTTCATGGTGCGGTGTGTGTACTTGTTGTGCGAGTCTCTCATCAAGGTTTCAGTATGGAGAGTGTGATTTTAGATGAGGGTCTTCTTGACAAACTGCAACGCTAAATGATAGTTTGTTTCTGGTGATTATGCAAACGGTGATGCTTTTATATCAGTGGTGATGATTATGTCAACGATGTGAAACATTGGTACATCTCTCTGATAGGCATGACTTCTACCATCTTGTTAGAATGTGGCTGTACCAAGTTCAGCTCCTATATTTCAACACGTAAGAAGGGATTTCAGAAAGTTTACCTTTAGTTATTGAGGTTGCACGAAATACAATATCATTGTGTTCAACCACTTTTGTTTCTTCAAGGGTACAGAATTGTAATTTATTCATGTATCACAATATATTGTATTCGTTTCATCATGAACAGTTCAGACCATGAAATGCTTGCATTTTAAAATGAATTTCGCTAATTCATTTTTAGATTTATCAAGCTGACAGTTTTTATTGACTTGTGAGAATATCTCAGAGTAGGCTTACTCTTGCTCTGAGATGGTCAAAATGGGAATGACAAGACTCGAAACTGAGTTTTTTGGTAGAATTTCCCCAACGTGCAAATTTTTTTGGAAATTATCAATTGATGTACTAATATCATTGCTTTTGACTTTGGCAGGCAAGGATGACTGGATTGTAATTCTTAACTCTGACATAGAGACTAAACAATTTAAATCATTTCATGGTTGGGTTGATTAGCAGACCCTGCCTGTCATGGCCAACCCAGTTGGAGTAGGATACTGTAGAAAGATGAAATGAACCCCCATTAAATTATTTGCAGTTTTGGGATCAAACCATGTGCCTTGCCAAAAAAAATGGGAGCTTTATTGAATATGATAGTGTTTCTTTATTTTTGCAAAAATACATAGATCGACACCTTATATTTAGTTCTTGCATTTTTTCCTGAGTGCTCATCCAAATATACTCATTTTCGCTGGAAAATAAATTTTGTGTATTGTACAGGGTATTCTCTATTATTTTAACTCTTTAGTCTTTTGGTCTCAGTTTATCTTTTTTGTATGGTGAAATGGGATGACTTTACTCTGTGGCAATGGTATTGTCAAGTTCTTTCTTTGATAAAGTCAACTTTATAATATGGCCCTTATTGCCACTTCACACTGAAATGATTCTCACAGAGATGGTAGGACTGAAGATTTAACAAAGCGTGTACTGTTTTATGAGTTAGTAACCTATATTCATTTAATACTGCCAGTAGGTCCATCCCTCTCCCCTCCCCCCTCTTATATCATATATGCATAAATATACTGAAGTACTGTCTATGTGAGATCCTAACTCTACAATCTCACCTATTTGAAGAGAATGGATTGATGCACAACGCTTCCCATGACTCACACTGACAGTGATAGTACATCTTGCTGCTTTTTTAAATGTGATGAAAGAGGTTCAAAACTTCTTTTCAAATTCTTGATTTTTACGACGGTCAGTGAAAGGCAAACGCTGGTTCTCATTTTGAAATTGTGCACCCTCTTGGAAATCTTTTGTCAGTACAAGTTATTGTTACATGTATATGTTATTGACCTGGAGGTTGATTTAGGAGTTGGGGGCAACTAAAAAATTAATTTTAAAAAATTATCTACAGGTCTCTATTGTCGGCTGACTCCTAAACAATAAAACTGACGAGTCTCTCACTCTGCTCATTTGTCCTTATCCAGGTTGTTTTTTTTACATGGTTGCTGAGAAGGATTACTGAACCAACATACTTGTTCATGTGTGCAATAATTGTTTTGCAGTACAAAATGTTATGCCATTCTGGAACGCAGTCAGACGGAGGTCACTTTTGGTATCAGTGTCTGTGGTGTAGCCATTAAACGCTTCACTGTCACACGCAGGAGACCCAAGTTGATTCCGGAATGGGGAGAAAATTCTTATTGAGTGTCTCGGCCTATCCGCTGAGATGTTATATCCCACTAAGCCTAGTTTGGCCCTAACTTGCAAAATGAGAAGCCTGCCTCCTAAATGATCTCAATTGTGTCGATGTGGCATAAAAACACCTACCTACATTTAAAAAAAAAAAGAATTCAGTTTTGGCTACAGTATTGGATTGCACACACTGACCCCCAGCACCTCTCTCAAGGGAGAGAAAGAGAATGTATTTGGTTAAACCGGACACCCAGATTATGTTAAGCGACATGATATGTCTCTTGGAACTGCCATTATTACTCAGAACCACTAGAATGTTTAGTGTTTAGTTTGTAGCAACCACCAGAGGAAATTTTGGCTAAAAAGTATCTTTATTCGTTACTTACATAGTGCGTGGACTAGAATGCGCATTTTTTCTTCTCATCATACAAGATTCCCTGAGGAGAGTAAATCATGTAAACTTCGTGGGTTGTACAATTAATATATTTAAAAAAATGAGATGCAAGCACTAGCCATTCCTGTAGTTTTTAGGGGTCTCTGTCTCTTTATCTATCTTTCTCTCTCTGTCTGTCTGACTGTATGTTTCAACTGTTTGTCTGGCTGGCAGGCTGGCTGGTTCTCTCTCTCTCTCTCTCTCTCTCTCTCTCTCTCTCTCTCTCTCTCTTTCTCTCTCTCTCTCTCTCTCTCTCTCTCACACACACTCTCTCTCTCTCTCTCTCTCTCTCTCTCTCTCTCTCTCTCTCTCTCTCTCTCTCTCTCTCTCTCTCTCTCTCTCTCTCTCTCTCTCTCTCTCTCTCTCTCTGCGACTCGCACATAAACTGACATATTGCGATTCTCTCTATCTTCAGTCCATCTGTAGGTCTATCAATCTATGTGAGTGTGTGTTTGTTTGTTTGTTTGTGTGTGTGTAAGTCTGTCACCTGTAGAATAGTAGTTTCATAATAGGCTAGGGTTCCGATATACGTGGCATCCTCCCTCCTCGCATTCATTCTTCCTCTAGTCTAACATCTTCAGTAAACTAACCACCCACCCCCACCCCCCCTTTCTCTCCCGACCCTCTGTCCTATCTCTCTTTTCCTCTGCGTCTATCTCTGTGTGTCTTTATCTCTCTCTCTCTCTCTCTCTCTCTCTCTCTCTCTCTCTCTCTCTCTCTGCTCTCTGTCTCTCCTTCTACTATCCCCTCTCTCTCTTTCTCACTCTTTCTCTCCCCCCCCCCTCTCTCTCTCTCTCTCTGTCTATCTGTCTCTCTCTCTCTCTCTCTCCCCCTCTCTCTCTCTCTCTTTCTCTCTCTCTCTCTCTCTCTCTCTCTCCCCCTCTCTCTCTCTCTCTTTCTCTCTCTCTCTCTCTCTTTCTCTCTCTCTCTCTGTTCTCTGTCTCTCCTTCTATCCTCTCTCTCTTTCTCACTCTCTGAACTCTCTCTGTCTGTTTGTCTGTCTCTCTCTCTTTCCATCTCTCTCTCTCTCTCTCTCTCTCTCTCTCTCTCTCTCTCTCTCTCTCTCTCTCTCTCTCTCTCTCTCTCTCTCTCTCTCTCTCTCTCTGTATGTTTGTGGGAATCAGCTTGCCAGGTGCAGCGTGTAGTAGGCCCAGGGCTCGGGCACGTACAGCAGTCCCGGGTACTTCTGTCTCAGCACGGGGTCATTCCACAGCCACACTGACCACAGCCCGGTCAAGGTCACAGTCAGGGTGAAGGTCCACACCAAGAACAAGCCGTTGGGGTCAGAGGTCAAGCCACGGCCACGCTGGACAGCGTAAGTGACCAGCATGCAGACGTATGTCAGGAGAAACAGCGGGAAGATTTGACCCTCAGTCGCGAGATACCTGGTGGGGGCAGCACAGAGCAGAGGGTTAAGTTTTTACTGCTAACGGGAAACGTGAAACGGTGACTGAGAGGGAGAGAGAGAGAGACGTGCACGCACACACACACACTCACACACACACACACACACAGAGAGAGAAGGGGGTGGGATTGGGATTACTCAAGGAAAGAAGTGTGGTTCAACTTTAGGCTTAAGGCCACAGTATTGTTTTGTTTGTCTGTGAATTGTCTCTCTTCAGAAGTTACACAAATTCCATAAAGTAATTAGATAGAAAGCAACCTTCCTCCTAATAATCTCTGCAATTTTAATTGCTCTTAGACACCGTCTCTCGCAAAAAGCCCCATAAAATTATGTAATTTTCCGTGTGAAAAGTAAAGCCCTCCTCTGGATTGGTACAGTATAATTGCAAGCTTAACCACCCAGACTAAATTAATGGCCGCTCGGACTACAAAAGAGACAGCGAATGGATATGTGGTCTCACTGGTTCTGACCATGGACAAAATGTAGCAAATAACAAGCGTCGGGTTGTAGCGTATGTTTTTTCAGCTGTATGTTACATTATGTGGGGGTGGGGGGGGGGGGGCTGCTTTAGTGATTTCTTTACTTTTGTAAACCATATCTCTTTCTGATCTTTGTATATAAAATCAAAAGATTCAGATCTTATCTGACTCAGCCACATTTGTGTCAAAGGCAAAAGAAGATATAGCCTAACCTCCTAGTTATTTAAAGGGGAAGTAAAAGTCGGAAGTCGTGAAACTCACCAATAATACGTGCCACTGGTGAGGACGAGGCTGACCCAGGAGAAGGAAATCCCTGATCGTCTGGTGCCGCTAGAGAAGCAGCCGATGTAGTAAAGAAACAGGCACAGGAAGAACGGAATGTACCTGGAAAGCAACACGATCAGACGTCTTCTTACGAGGCGTTTCATGTTACGTAAAACTACATGTATCTTTCCTGTTCTTTTCTTGGAATTTAGGAAGTGTGCGTGTGTGTGTGTGGGGGGGGGGGGGGGGGGCACACAGTTAGCCCATTTGGTATCATGCTTAACTGTTACCGTATTGTGGTGCGGATGATCCAGGTTTGAGACCTTTAATAGGACTATCTTGACTACCGGTTTGAATTCTCAGTGCAACGTTCTCGGACAAGGATGTTTTGGGAAGTTTACACGGCTCTCTACTTACCCATTTACCTATGGATTTTTATTTATTTATGACTTTGTTTGTTTGTTTGTTGGTTGGTTGGTTTTGGTTTGTTTGTTGTTGTTGTTGTTGTTGTTGTTTTTGTTTTGTTGTTGTTGTTTTGTTTTTGTTTTTGTTTTTTGTTTTTGTTTTTTGTTTGTTTGTTGGGTTTTTTTGGGGGGGTCGGCGTTACACAAGTTTACACGGCTCTCTATCCATTACCTTTGGATTTTTATTTATTTAAGACTTATTTGGGGGGGGGGGGGGGGGAGAGGGGATCGGCGTTAAACTCGCAGGTCGCGCCTTTAAATGGCCTTGCTGTGTCAAAAAGAAGTAGATCTATACGCCAGAAGTTTGGGCTGTCATGGTCACCATAAAGTTTTCAAGGTTGGAAAAGTCTAAATAAAAAACGCACCTCTACGACATCTCAGACTGACACAAGCACCAAAAGCAGTGACATTACAATATAATAATGACCTGTATACTCACCACATGAGGTGGCCGATCTCCTCGTCATAACGATACAGCAGCTCAAAGGACTTCAACTGGAGAGAAGAGAGACAAAGATATCAAAGCCGTGAATTGTAGAAAAAAAGGCAAGTAGATTAATCGATAAATTTTAAGCTACAAAAGTTAGGGGGTGGGGGGTGCATTTCACATCCTGAACAAGTCGCACGAAACGTTGCGCATTAATGGGTTTATGTCAAGAAATTCATAAGCAATCAACTTATAATGTGTAAAGGAAAAACTGAGAGTTATTTTTTCTCTCCCTATTCTGAAGGTACAAGCATTCATTTTATGTCGCCTCTGTTCTTAATATTTACGGCTAAATAAAGAAAAGTGATTGATTGGTTGTAAACTTTTTATACTCTCATCGACGCAATTTATACATTAATTATTAAGTTAAGGAAGTGGATTGCTTCGACCCTGCCTGTCATAGCCAACATGGGCTGAATGCTATTGTATCAAATGACTGAAAAAGTCGATTCAATTTTTTTCTTACAACGCGGAACGAGACTTTCATTGTAGGCCTACCGGGCTCCTTTTGCTTAAAGATGGGGGCCTATGTAAGCATTGAAGATCCGAGGAAATTGACGTCTGAGGGAAGTCAGATCAATTCATAAAATTGTGTCTAAATATTTAAATAAATAAGAAACAAAAATATTTAAATAAGAAACATAAAGAATATTATTATCGCTTGCGTCATTCATAAAACGTGACATGCAGCCAAATGCTCCCTCGTCGAAATGATCTACTGCGTACCCAGTTGTTTTTTTCCGCGCGCGACTTGAATTCGCGATTTATTTCTTTTTTTAATAAGATTTTTTAAAATTATTATTTTAAAAAGAATGAAAAGAAATACGCGAATTTAAGTCGGTGCATTGGAACACATGCCTGTGGACCACCCAGATGGCGATTTCAAAACGTTCGTGGGGTAAAACGAAATGGGCAAAACGCGAGAGGAGAAAAAAAAGAATGCGCACCACCCGCCTACCACCCCACAGAAGTTGCATAATGAAGTTCAACTTGAGCCCCCAAAACTAATTTGCTACTCCCAGGTGTACAGTAAAAGTAGGCCCTATAATATTGTGTCTAGTTGGGGGTCAAGCAAAATCAACCCAAACTACTGCATTAGCGTCTCTATCTAAGCTCACCAGTTCTTTCGGCCGTATCTCCTGCATGATGGGGTTGTCCCGGACACTGAGGTGGTTCTTGTAGCCCAGGTGGATGAGTCGGTGGTTGACCGAGTCCCCGACCAGGTGGATGGAAGCACCCATCACCAACACGATCACACTCACGTAGGTCAACGTGCTGGACACACGCTGCTTACTGCGCTCTAGGAGCTGTGGGGAGAGGGTTAAGATAGAAAGAGAGGGGGGAGGGAGAGGTAGAGAGTGAGAGAGAAAGACGTAGGGAGTGAGAGAGAGAGTGATTGAGTGAGAGAGAGAGACAGAGAGAGAGAGAGAGAGGGGGGGGGCAGAGAGAGAGAAAAAGAGAGAGAGACAGGGAGAGACAAAGAGAGAGACATACAGAGAGAGAGAGGAAAGAGATAGAAAAAAGAGAGAAAGAGAGAGAGAGAAAAAGAAAGAGAGAGAGAGAGAGACAGACAGACAGCCAGACAGTTGATTGATAGGGGGGGGGGGGGGGGGGGACAAAAAAGATGTGTATGTGTGTGTGTGTGTGTGTGTGTGTGTGTGTGTGTGTGTGTGTGTGTGTGTGTGTGTGTGTGTGTGTGTGTGTGTGTTTGGGGAGGGGGGAGGTAATGGTCATCATTATTATTTTGTGGGAGACTGAGGGGGATTCTGCTTGCCTCAGTTTGAGTCAATCAGTCGAAGGATACAATGCAAATCAACACTCAACACAATGATGGAAAATAAATAGTTGCCACTGTTGATACCGCTGGTGCTCCTGCTGCTGTTGTTGTTGGTGTTGTTTATAGATGGTGGTCGTGGTGATAATGTGGTTCTTAACATTAATTTGTTCATGCAGGTTGCATTTTGTCACGAGCTACTTCAGCCCACAATGGTTCAGTAGTCAGCGTTTCTGCTGTTAATATTACTCCTCTTGTTTGAACCCCTATCACATTGTTCTTGCACTTTAGCGCGTGCTGAATTTTTCAGGCTCTCCGCCGATTTGCCTCTCAATGCAGGTTGATGTTATACCGGAAGACTCGCTTTTTATATTATTACCTCACACTCTTGACGAGGGACATGAAAAACCATTATATATAACAAGCCTGTGGCTGTGCTTTTGATCTTTAATCAATTCTTCACTAGCATGCATTTTATTAGAATGAATAGCTTTCATTTTTCCCATTTGAAAAGCTTGCCGTTATGAAGGGTGGATAGTGTAGTGGTAAAGCTTTCGGACTCGTAACCGTTATATTGTGGGTTCCAATCCCGACAGGGACCCAACGTTATTTCCTAAGGAAAGGCATTTTACACGAATGTTCTCACTTCACCCAAATGGAAATGGGTGCTCAGTAAAAGACAGCGAAAGATCTTTCCGGTTTGTTAGTTCTTGAGCGCTTGAACAGTTATTTGCACTGTAAGCGTCCCGGGAGTGTTCTGAGGTCTGCTGGGTAATGATATAGTGTAAAGCGTAGTATAGAATTTTGCCAGCTATCGGGGATATACACTATACTAAATTGTTATTATTATTATTATTATTATTATTATTATTATTATTATTATTATTATTATTATTATTGTTATTATTGTTATTATTGTTATTATTATTGTTATTGTTATTATTATTATCGTGATGATGATGATGATGATGATGATGATGATGATGATGATGATGATGATGATGATGATGATGATGATGATGATGATGATGATGATGAAAGAAACAGAGGGCAAGAAAAACAGTGCCATAATATTGTGAACAAATGCAAAGAAGTTTCCACTGAAGAATGTCAAAGTGTCAAAGGGATAGAACTGACAGAGAGGCAGGTACATTTTTCGCTTTCTAAATGTAGGAATTTTACGGCCCCATCGACACAATTTAAATCTGTAAGAGTAAGAGGCAGACTTCCGACTCTGCGTGTCAAAGTCATCCTGAGTGAGAGGGATACTCCCTTCAGGCAAAAAGACCGAGATACTCGATAGAAAACCTCCCCACTAGGGAATCGAACTCGGACCGGGTTTCTTGCGTGTTATAGCCACGTAACTTACCTGTACACCACACACACTGCTTAGACCTCTGAACGGAGCTATCACAACTAACCTTAGGTTGTCGGGTGCTCTAGTGTGGGTTGCTTCTTCGATGTTTCCTATCAAACGCCTATCATCTGACCCTTATCTCTCCTCTTGGTTTTTCCCTTTTAGTTAATCTCTTGTAACACCAGAGAGTGGTGACATTTCTAATCTTCGGCATCTATATTATGACCTAACTGCGCTGCGAGTGCCGTAAAACTCTTATTAAAACAAAAGGCCAACCTTAAGTAAGCAAAACGGCGTCAGTATGTTGTAAGCCATGTGGAAGTAGTCACCGATGCTCGGCTTGTCAAGTGGCGTCCACTCCAGCGGCACAAACATCTGGAGATGTGGATATTAAGATGAGATAAGATACATCTTTATTGTCCAGATCCGGGCACATTGGTTTAATGTTTCACCACGTACGCACACACACACAAACACACACACAC